TATATATATATATATATATATATATATATATATATATATATATATATAACGAATTTCTCGACCACGTAAAAAAATCATGATACCACTACTTCCTTCGGATCGTCAAGATTCACGAATTCCCCTCGTTATTACCTATAACACCTTGCGAGATGGGGGGAGGGTGTGCTCTCACTAGTATCTATAGATCTTTCTCATTATCGAGGTCCACAAATTCCTCTTGCCATCAATTATCGGTGATGAATGAGGGAATTACTATAGGCGAGGAAGGAGAGGGTAGTAGCAGTCCTCGCACTCGCTCATTTCTCATGTAAAAGCAATGGGCGATAGGGTCAACAGGGGCAAAAGGCAAGGGAGGTGGCTGTCAAAGTCCAACAAGGGCAAAGCCTCTATCACTAATCACCTTTGCGCATAGTTGTGCCTATGCTATAAGCGATGAGTGATTATTCGAGATGAGGGGAGATGAGCAATACGAGTAAAATGATCATTTAATAATAAAAAAAAATACTATGAAAATTTCTCAAAGGTAGAACAATCGTTGACTAGCGAGAAAATGTACGGAGGTGAAGGTGACCAAAGGTAAAGGTGTAGGCGACACTATGGACGAAGATAGAAGCGAGTCTAATAAAGACAAGAGAAATTAGTTTTTTTTTATAAGATGAGGTGTTTTATATAAAAAAAAATTAAACTAGGAGCTATATATATATATATATAAAGGATGAATAGTGGTAATTATTTAATGACGTGGCTTGAATGACCTTTTGAGCATCAACATCAAATGTAGAGGAGCAAATGACTCATTTGGACTGCTATAATTGCAATGCAACATCTTTGTCCAGCCAGCTCAGGTTTTCGTGGCATTCATGAGATTTTTGTATGAGTGATGTGATAGGAATAATTGATGAAGGCTTTAAAAATAAAATTGAAATTGTATTTGGAGATTCTCACAAATGTATAAATTGATTTTTTATTATTTAAGAATGAAAAAGGATAGACTATTCCTGTATGTGTTATACTCCAACACACTCCAAACCAAATAAAGAGGTATTTATTTTATTTATAAAATAAATTTGACTAAATATCATATATATCTTCTATTCATATTCTATTATTTACATGCCAGAGGAAGTATTGAAAATATAAAAAAATTGATTGTATCTTATATTATGTTATTAAAATATAAAAAGAGAAACTCAATTTATTAATTTTAAAAATAAAAAAATAGTTGAAATAATGCAGAGAGAGAGAGAGAGAGAGAGTGTAGAAACTCAAATGAATGGTGATCCAAGCTCAATGAGTTAATAGGTCATGGATGTGATTTGTTGTGAGATTTCTCCTCACCATGGCAAGTCTACTATGATTTGTCCTTGGTCAATGTCAATGTGATCAGGTTAGATCTTCAAAGGACAGAAAACAACTACAAAATCTAAGAAAGATTCTGGTGAGATTTTAGTTAGGATCTCACATCATCTAAAGCTCTTGATTTCAGAGCTCGTTTCTCTGTAGCTTAAACCATGCATGCAGAGATGAATGGGTCCATCATCAAAGGTAGTAGTAGTTGTTGTTGTTGTGGTGGTCCTTACAAGGAATCTAATCCTTTTTGCGGTTTGTCACCATCCATATGGAGTCTGTCACTCAAAACTTAGCTGGTCTTGTTGTGGCAAGTTTTGCATGCAAAGATAGAAACAAAAACATGATTTGGATGGCATTAAAGAAACTATTTTGGGTGTGATTTTATGAGGTCCAGAACAAATGTGAGAAAGGCAAAGCAAAGCTGCATCTGCTGCTGACAGATCCTCTGAACACAGTTGAAGAAGACATGAAACAGTTCATTCAGGCTTTAGTGAGTATTTATTTTCTCTCTCTTTGTCAAAGATGGAAAGCAGTAGTTAGGTAAAGGCTTCAAGATAGGTTTCATTATGCCACAGTATGTTTCTGCTTTTGGTGGCATCAGTGCCTTGTGGGACTCCTCAAAAGCAGCATCTGCAGATCATTATCTGACTAAAAAATGATGGTCCTGCTGAGGAAATTTCCATGTCAGTATGAGATGAGACTAAAGATGAATACAGCAGAAGATAACTGTGCTCACATCCTATATTGAGTTCCAATATATGTTCATCAATCCACAGGCTTAATCAGCAACCATTTCATCTGTACATGTGCTTCTCAAGTACTTCATACAATGTTAGTATGAGATGAAACTGAAATGGATACAACTGCATGAGAAGAAGAAGAAGAAGATATCCACATGAATGCAGAAGCTTAATCGAGGACCATTTCACCAAGCTCAGTGATGAGCTACTTGGGAGTGGCAAGATTTATTTGCAGTTACTTATAAGTAAACATAGAGAGAGAGAGAGAGAGAGAGAGAGAGAGAGGTGGAGGTCTTATCCATAGTCTCTACATGCCATGGGGCAAAAGAAGAGACGGGAAAGCAAGATTGTGGATAACGCCGAATCTGAGAGTCCAAAAAGAAGTTTCAGGCAAACCCACCAATGCTTATCCTCACTGTCGACTCGTCTCTCCATCCTCTTTTTATAGCCGCCTGCTGTCCCACCCACCCAATCAAGCCATTTGCTTTCCGTGTCTCCAGAAACGTCTCTCTTGCCGCTGCAGTCGACTCGTCTTCCTATGATAGCATCGGCTGCAGGAGTTGGACTTGTAGCATGAAGCAGTAGTAGTAGTAGTAGTAGAAGAAGAAGAAGAAGAAGAAGATCTTTGGATCAGAAGGGCTCAGAGCGAGGAGAAGAGGTAAGGGGGTGACAGGTCTCGGAGGCTTAAGCGTATGGTAGGGTGGGGGGAAGGGCTGAGGCGTAGAGTAAGAGAGTCGAGTAGCAGTGTAGCTGGCCATGGATGCTTCTTTCATCCCACAAAGCAGCCATGGGACCATGGATGAGGACGACGGGGAGAGCTTCTCGAGCGTTCCCGGTTCTTCGACGTCCTCCTCCTCGGACGACATGGACGACACCGCCTCTTCTGCGTCGCCGACGACGGAGGAGGAGCAGCATGGAGACGGGCCTCTCTACGAGATGGCTTCCCTCGTGGCACAGCTTCCGTTCAAGTAAGTCTAATGGATCATCCCTCGCCATTAAGCAAGCTACACCGAGGGCTGGACATCATCGTCGATGCTTACGATCGTTGCATGTGTTTGTGGCAATAGGAGAGGGCTGTCGAAGTATTACCAGGGGAAGTCGAAGACCTTCACGTCTTTGTCCAGTGTGAGGTGCCTGGAGGATCTTGCCAAGCCGGAGAGGCCACAAAGGAAGAAGATGAAGCCGTGCAAGAGTTACGGGTGGGGATTGGACAGCCAGAGATCACTGTCTCCAAAGGAGTCCTCCAGAACCATCACCAAGAAGGCTTCCAGGGGCCCGTTGTCTTCTCTCGGTGGAAGGAAGCACAGCTTTGTTAGTGGCGGCAGGCCTCCTGTGGCTCCTCAGAGATCAAACAACTTCTCAAGCCAAACCCTTTTGTTTGCCTGATGACTGTTCAAGCAAGTATTAGATGCCAATGCAATGCAATCTTCCGTGTCTCCTAAACAAAGAGACATGATATCTGATCATGATCTGAGGGAGAGCCAAATCTAGGTTCAGTAGACTGTCAAAGCTTCCTACAAAGTATGTGTGATATCAAATGAAAAAGGAAGTTTAATTCTACATGGCCCTTCCAACTTATAATTCATATGTCAGATGAGATTTCGAATCCAAAATCATAATACAACACCTTGTGAATCAAAAGTTGCTGGTGAAAATACCAGCCTAGAAAAATAGAAACACTCGTAATTTAATTTCAAGAGAATATGCAATGCATTTAATTTGGGGTACTAAGAGAAGACAATCTTTGGACATGAACATTACAATTGGATGATAATATCTTTAATGGGGAAACATTTCTACAAAAGGTTGTCACTTGGGTTCCTTGCTTAACCATGCTGAGGTACTAACACAACTATAGCTTATAAGAACAGCAACCTTACATACCCAATTAACTTGACGATGGCATGGATTCAGCAACCTACAAAAGGAAACGCCATAAAGACATCTGGGTCAAGATAACATCCCTGATACATTCAAGATTGCCAGACTTACAACTAATTTGGATCTAACACCACAATAGCACACCGAGAGAAAGCGGCTAATTTAGGATCTTGAGCCATGAATTGTGCGGAGAACTTCCATCGGTTCAGGAGCTTTTTGCTCCTAATCCCATTCCACGGGTAGTCACTACAACGACAATAAGAACATACCATGAAACGATCATTCAGCATCAGCATCATCCCTCGTCGATGAAGTATATCCGGTATACCAGCATATGCAATTGTTGCACAAGACTTCCCACATCACGTGCTTCATGCACCGAAGCTGGCAACAAAGGGCACAAGTCGCTTGAAGTCCCTCTTCTTTCCGAGAGCGCAAGTATCAAGTACACGACCAAGAAGCAGACGGGTATTCTGACGTGCCACTTCTCTTGCTGACAAACCACCATCTGTTGTGCTCCCAGCACCCTGAGCTGCGAGTCCAGCTCCAAATGCAGATCCAGCTAAATATTGCAGAGGTCCGCTTCGGGCCTTGAATGAGCTCTGAGGTGCCAACATACCTTGCAAAAACCTCTCACCTGCACCATGCCCATTTTCATTTGACAACAGATCGTCCATGTGTCCACCAGCGACAGTGCTGCAACTCTGCAACAGTGCTTCCAGAACACCAAGGGCCTCCCAACATAATGTGCTCTCCACAAGTTGTGAGACGACTGCATAAACATGGGGACTCTGGGCGGCATCCATGGGAGCTTGCTGCAATAATGCTTTAAGCATTAGCAATACCACCCGCTGATAAGCCACCGGACCCTTCTCGAGCAACCTCAGCAAATGACCAAATGCTAAAGATGAGTATTTAGGGAACCACGCAGAGCAAATTGGTGGAGACACACGAGTAAAGAGGTCATCACCGGATGTTATCTCACCACGCGAATATGCTACAAACACTTCTGCTAGATCATCTAAAGCTTTCGCACGGCACCAGAGGCCAATGTTGGTAGCAACAGAGCAAGCCTTCTGGTACTGATGTTCGAGAGGTGATACCGAGTCTGTGGAAACTGAATCCTTCATTAGCTGCAAGGCAAGCCAGGGCAGTAGACCTGTGATATGCATCAAAAGTCGTGTATCCGGGTTCCCAAATATAGAGTCACAGTAAGGAACTGTCATTCGAGATAACACCTCGATCGCAGAACCATGACTAACAGTGGACATTAGTCCCTTCAGAACAAGAGGCTGCACACCTTCAAATGCCGGCACCTTTTGACTCTCTGGGGGCAATGGTTCCATGCCAGACCGTGATTCTTCTCTACGAAGCTCTGCTGCATCACAGCTGTATGTGTCAAACTCATCACGTGGCATGCTGGATAATAACACATTTTCGGTTGTTCGGTCCTGGAAGGACAGCCGATCAATCACTCGGGAAAAGAGCTCAAGCACCTGGCCGTAGATGTACACAAAGTCTGTGTGCATCATTGCAACACAACCCCAGAAAAGCTGCGGGTAAAGAATTACCTTCTCAGGCTCCATGTTCTCTACCATCACTTGCAATGTCAAGAGAATCTCCATCGCAAAGCCAAGAACTGCTGGCACAGGATTTCCCAAGCACCTGTAAAGGCAACGGAGGAGTAACATACAGTTCTCGCTTTTTACACTAGGGTGCAGTGCCCTGTATATCTGATGCGAGCGGCATGCAAGGTGTCTGGATGTGCATTCTGTTGCCCACTTGAGAGCTTCTGCACCCCATGTTTCCCGTAGATCCCCTTGAAAAAAGATGGCATCCACCATGCTCAGTACAAGTGCTGAAAGTAGTGCAGTACTAGGGAGTTCGGTTCTCACAAGAGTTGGGTCCTCATTATCCCACATTAAACTGCCACGCTTTGACTGAATGTACTTTATTAAGCTAAACACCTTCTGCTTATTCTCCCCATCACTACTCTCAACCTCATACAACTCCAGATGCCGACCAGCAAGTGAATAAAGTAAATTAACAAGCAGATGCTGTGAATGCAGGAGCACAATGTCTTCTGAGCTATCCATGGAAACACAAGTAACATGAAAGAGCAAGGGCAAGTGTTCACGAAAATCCTCATCATTTTCATAAGCAATTTCTGCAAGTAGAATCAGTGCTATATCTGCACGGGAAAGTAAGTGTTGTTGATGTCCTTGCAAAGCAGATTGGAGCTCACTGGCACTGATCCCTTGAATCACACTGCTTGCAGGATGCAAAATATCCTCAGTTGAATTAGGCGTATCAATTGGGCAATCTCCACTGTCACGAGACACATGGCGGCTTCTTAAGTTGCCAGTTGAACTTCGAATATTCATCAACGGTCCCGACATGCTCATCCCTGGTATGTTCATAAGTGATGGAAGGAGTTGCCCAGACCGGCCAGTGGTAGGAGCAACCATGTTACCATCAGGGTGCATTGGGCTCAGAGGGCCTGAGATACTGTGGCCTGTAATTCCGGAAGTCCGCCAGCTCAGGTTCCCACTAGCATTTCTAAGTGGGCCATCAAGGGAGCCACGAACAAGCAAAGGAGACATGTGAGGTTGGCTGTCGGCAACAGTTGCGACTTGAGCAGTTGTGGGCCCTTGAGAAAACTCTAAGATAAAATTTGCCAAAGGATCAACCTTGCTTGGCCTAACAGGTTCCTCAATCTCCTCCAGCATTCTCTGTGATAACTCACAGACCAAGTGATCAATTGTCTGTTGTGGGCAAATGCGTGCAAGATATAAACTCACACGTTTCGCTACAGAAAAGTATGTAGCAAATGCTCCGGTTATCTCTATTGATGTATTAGAATCACAGTCTTCAATCCCTTTGGTGATCAAAAAATCAAGAACTGGAATAATATTTCGGTTATTGCTAGCAACAGTACTCCAGAGCTTCTCTATCTCATCAGGAAATTGATCTCCATGTTTCCATGTCACATAGTAAAGGCTTTTCAGCAATCTTTCACTCCAGCCAGAATTCCAAAGCTTCAAAAAGTTAAGATTTTCAATCCAAGGGGCCATGCATGTTAGAACCTGATGCTGTGCAATTATGTCCACTGCATCAAGCTGCCGCTGCATGATTTCCTCACAAAGGAGCTCACTCAGTTCAGGATGGTCTTTAGCAAGTTTTGAGGAGAGCTTGTATTGGAATTGCTGATAAGAGTCTGGAAGGTTACCAACCACAGATGCCTGGTAATGCCCTGTACCCTCAGTATCATCCTCGGCCCACTCACGGGCAGAGAGGGTCTCCAACATTTGGAGGGCATTGTCCCGAATTTGTCTGGATTGATCAACTACCTTATAGAGGATTAAACTTAGTAGTCTCTGGATCTCACACTTTGGAATTTCTTCACGCATGTAGACTTCAGCTAGTACACTGAAGTAACCATCTGCTATTGAAGAATCTGGAGAGTAGCACTGTACATAGTAAAAGGGTTCTTAGGATCATGAACAAACATATCTGTCAAACGAAGATAATATCATAACAGTATCCTACTACTCATTATACAGGTTTCAAACTTCAGCAGTAGTAATCAGTTATCTTGATTTTCTAAATAAACATATGAACTCCTTTAAACTCTTTCTAGGAAGCATTAATCAATAAGGAACGCTATGGCACATGAAAATGGACAGGATGTATAATGTTTACAGATAATAATGACTTAAGAGCTTACTCTTGGTTTAAAATTAAAGCAGAATGAGGATCTACCAAAACATTTAGAGACGGGCTGGTGTAGTACAACCCAATTAGCTCAATCTATCCGAGAAATCTGGAAAACACATGTGGGAATGGAACACACACGCAACAGGGCTAAGAAAGGTAGTTAGCCAGATTGCTTGGACTGATGATCAAGTAACGCCAGATTGCTCAGACTCATGATAAGGTAACTTTGACTAGGTTACAAGAACTTTGACAAGGTAATTTTGACCCTGGATCAATAACAGGTTACCACCAAATTTTGTGACTTGGATCCACAATGTTAAAGACTGTTAAGGAAAACAAATGGAGAACTCAGATGACACTAATTTCCTCTTTACTAAAATGTCATCATATGTGAAGTAATTCAGACATAAAATCATGAAAATGATTTACTTTAAAATAGCATGCAGCCATATGCAAAATTACTATACACTAGAAGTACACATGTAATCAGTGAACAAAAGATTCCTTCTACCATTCTGACCTAATGCACATTGTCAACCATAACTACATATCTCATGTTGCAAACCAGGTGAGACAGCATACAACTGTTAAGAAATCAACCGACCAAAAGAAATAATTTATATGAAGGTTATCACTGTTGTGTGTTATTACAATGGATGTGTCATCCAAGACTGACTTAAATACTAAAACTAGCTGATTAATAGATTTGTATTACAAAACTGAAAAAAATCTACAACATGATGCACCTCTGAGAAGCCATATAGCAGATGTAAGTTATTCGATGATCGATGCATAATCACCTCCTTATCAGCCATTTAAGGCTCAAATAAAAACACAACACTTCTATTCCAGTTATTTTCATTGTTTTTGGAGGGGTTCTTTCAATCTCAACATTCAACTTGATAATGAGTTGCTAGTATTCAGTTTAATAGCTGTAAATGGTTAATGATTGTCATTTTTGAAAATTTGCAACCTCGGTACCAAACAAAATTACAAACTTACACATTATCATGAATTTCTCAATTTAATAGAAGAAAATATGTAATTGGGACCATTGTTGGAAAAACCAGCAGGAACCGGTATGCACCGGCTTGTATTTACCAGTTTGACTTGGTTATGTAATTGAGCCTATTGTCTAGCAAAGACAAGGATACATAAGTCTCATGTCCATTATTTTCATGACAGCATTGATAAAACTCCACAGGAGTTACTTGTGTAATGCCATTCAACTGGACACAAATGAATATGCTAAGGCTGGTATGAAGATGTTGAGATGAAACTGACCTGGTCAATGCAAGCAGGAAAGAGTTCCAGATTTGTCTGCAAAAGATTTTTCAAGGCAGTTTTCGCTAGAAGAACCCGAAAATGTCCAACTTTATGTTTATCCCGTCCTGCATTTGAACGTCCTCCATCTCCTATATATTTTGAATACGATGGAGTTCGTGGATCCACAGGAGAATACCCAAATGGTGCCCTATGAGCTGGTTCCACAAACAAGTTGTTAATCCAAGATATGACCCGACCAGTCATCTTTCTGGCATTATCATCAAAAGAAGGTCCATATAAAAGAGAGGAAATGGCATTCATGGAGGCCCACTGTACTGCCTCCACTTGTTCAACAACATCCTTATCAAAGGTAATTTTGTCTATAGATTCCCTTGATCGGTTATGCTGTCCTACCTTGTAACGCTCAACTTCTCTACGATAATCACTACTGCTTTCCTGTGACCATGTGCTGCCTGTATCATCACACCAAGAAATAAGGAGATCAAAAAGTTTCTTTCGAGTTCTGATATCAAACTTCTCAGACTTTGACTCCACAAACTCTGGAGCTAAATATCTTAAAACAGAAGCTAATGCATAACGAAGAGGCTGCAATTCGTGGAAGCTATCAGAGGATGATGTGCTAGTATGGCGGTATGTTTCCTCAATGAATCTCAGAAAATGAAGTCTCAGAACAGGTTTTCGGCTAAGCATCCCTGGCCAAACTTTCTCAGCAATTGTACGATAAATATTTGCAATGTGTATGCGAAAATCTTCACGGCGAGACTTCTGATTCTGCATGCACAGACTCAATATAAATAGTCAATACATAACTTATATATATATATATATATATATATATATATATATATATATATATATACATGCAAGAGCTATAATTTTTCAGAGAGTTTAATGGCTGCAAAAGATCAATGCCGCTGAACCCAAATAGTTGGGACATTATGACTTTATACAAGATGGGATAGGATACAAAAGAAAACCTAAACAAGGCATGTCATTTTAACACCCAAATGGAATGCTAAGAGCATTTATCATATCTTACTACATTATGATTGTCATTTCATTTTATTTCTGCAGACACATAACGGTGTATTAGGGGACACCAGATGATATAGAGAGATGGATCAACAAACACAGCAAGACTTCCTCAGGTATTTAGAATAGGCCAGGCAGAACAACAAGAAGATTTTCAGTCAAATGAGTTCTTCAGTATGATCCCAAATGGTAGTAGGTTTAATCCATTAAGCATTATTGGTGAAAAGAATCATCAAAATGAAGCCTGATTCAGATAAAACTAAGCATGACTTAGTGAATTTGCAAATGGATTTTCCATCTTGCTACTTCTAAACAAGACCAAAGTCATGCCTATATCCGGAATGCAAATTACACTAGGTAGCTGGTGTAAGTTGAACTGACCATATCATAGATCCACCAAACAGATTTTTCCAAGTTCCAACCTTCCTATTCCAAAATAAAACTACATTAAGCTATAATATGGAAGCTAGCTCTTGAGTTTGTTTGATGAAAAAGGGATATTATATTTACCATGTCAATATTGTATTCAGACAAGTAAAATATGAAAAGCATGCGAAGTTATGGAAAGATTAAGTTAGCACAAAATCTAACATATCTACATGAAAAACCTGAAATAGCCAGTACAAAAGAAGCAGCTCAACTTATCAAGAACAATCCACTTGTCTAAGCAAGCATATATGAATGGAAGACTTCCCACAAGAAATCTACCGAGATGCTTAGCAACTAAGAGGCTCGTATACCAATTAAAATAATACTTTCAGTCAAGTAATGCTACACCTTCCATTTTGGCTTCCCTTCTGCTTCTGATGAAACTTCTTCAACAAAAGTTGCAAGCTTGCCAAACATAGTTTCACATACTTCCAAGTTTGAGTGACCAAGAGCAGCTACAGCTCCATGCTAAACCAAGAAAACAGCAAATGCACTATTACTGATGATCCCAACATTAAGAGTAAAATTAGAAAATGCAAGAAGAGAGAGCATTTATGCCTCTTTATATTAAAGTGCTACATTTTTTTTCCACTTAAAGATACCAAACATTAAAAAGGTTATCAGATGCTTAAAGAGAACACAACATAGTTCTTTACTGGCCTATTTCTTAAAAGATTAAAAAATATCTATATAACAATTTAAAGAAAAGAGACCTTTCCCAGGTATTTTCACAAATTTAATCAAATTCACTAAGAATAGGTCTTTGTTTCTCAAAAATTTTCTCAAAAAAGGAAGATACAAGTCAACCTATAGATTTTCTCGATAGCAAAACACATAATATGCAGTTCACAAATTATGTATTTGCAAACATTTCTGGGACATGATTTTCTCATAAAAAAGTGATTACTTGAATTTTTGCCACACAGCATCTTCAACAAGTTCCTATACTAATTCAGTAATTTGTACAATTTACGCACTATATTGCTTTGGCTTAGGTAAGAAAAATTAAAGCAGCATGGATCCCAGTGTCATGGGTCTAATTTAGGATATGGATGTATGGCTCATAAGGGTCCAAATCTTAAGTATGGGTGCCAAAACATGGGTAAATTTAAATATTTTAAGATATATAACTTAATATATAAAAATAATATGATATAAATCATAAAATATTTATTTCTTTTAATTAAAAAAATGCATATTTTACATAAATTATACTAATTTAAAAAACACTGCAAATTTACAAATAAGTTTTGACTGTTCTCTAAGTAGTGATCACATTCTTTCTTCTTCCATAAATTTGTGCTAGTTAATGCTTGTATAGTTTATTGGATGAAAGTAGAAACTCAAGACTTCCATGTTAATGATACAGCACACGTTTCGTATGTACAGTGTGTACCTTGCTTTGCGCTATCTGATATTACTTCTCATGCCAAGACCATTATGAGAAATATCATTGAAAGCCACCTTTTAATGAGAATTATCTTTCAAATTTGATGTTAGATCATAGCTTTACTATATCAAAGTATTAGCCATTATAATCTTCTTTATCTCACAACCAACCAGCCTAACAAATCATCCAACTTAATTCTGATCATCAAAATGACTACAATCACATCCCCTCAGAATTCTTCTATAAGGTTGTTCCAAGGAAACCTCACATACTGATCTTGAGGCCTCACACAAAGTGCTTGGCCATGTTCCAGGGGCCCACTCAGCCAAATGAGTCTGCAAGAGCATGGGCAAGGCTAGTGAAACTCTCACATGCAAGGTTCTCCTCTTCTTAGATGCATAAATCTTTGTTATATTATACATGTAAAAGAAATTACGGGACGTAATAGTTTATAACATCTTATAATCAAATGTCCTAATCCCTTTTTAATCAGTTGCAAAGTAGAACTTTTGTAACACTACAAATTAAGCATCATAAATACTGATGATACAGCATGAATTTCATAAAATTAGTCTCAACCATAAGCGCACCGCTGCCTATCCTTGGACAAGGTTGTCAAAAAGTCATCAAAAGGTAATATCTGAAAGAGGAACTCACAGCATGTGTTTCAGATCCATGTCTAAGTGATGGTAATATCAAATGAAAAAGTTCCTTAGCTGCTGTGAAGCCACCATCTTCTCTGTTATCAGGTGGACAAGAGCATGCAAATATCGCATACATTAGCCACTGGTCTAATTTGTTTTCTGCATCTTGGGACTGAGAAGCCTTCCCACCTAATTCAACAGGTGTAATAAGTGCAAGTCTACGCATAACCTCCAGCCTGCAAATAGAAGCCAAAAGTAAATTTTAATTACCCAGGGGATAAATAATTAACACATCATAATTAGTAAAAACAGTTATTGATTAATCATCCACTGTATGATGCTAAAAAAGGGCCTTGCAATGACAAGCATTCCCTAATTGTTGATTGAGTGATGCAAATGAAGGAAGCTCATGTAAGTCTAACAATCTAGAATACAGTGAAAGTAGAGATCTGTTTTTCTCTCATATCCACCCATCAAACTCTTCAACTATAAGTTTTAAATTTAAATAATATGAAAAAAATAAATACTATAAATTTAAGTTTTTGAGGTTATTTAAGATGTTAGACCATAAGTGTTAAATACAATTGACTAAAATCATGTTTTGCAAGGAAAAAAAAAATCAAAATCAAGAATGACGAAGGGAAACAAAGTAGGCATCAATGTGACTGGACAGATATGATCAACAGAGTCAAAGACCCAAAATTAAATTTAGAATGAATGGAAATGACAGAATCGTAAGAAATTAAAAAAATATTAAATTTAAGGGGGAAAAAGGTATACATGATTAAAATATTCTTTTAAAGAGTTTCATATTCTACAAATTACCTAACTTTTTCAAAAAAATAAAACTAGAAGAAAATTTATGTAAAAGTAACAATGAAAAATAAAAGAAAAAATTAATTTAAAGTATTTATTCTGAATATGAATATCAATCATATCATATCATACAAAAATATTATAGCAGTAAAAATATTATATATACACACATGACACAACACACAAAAATGATTCAGAACTGATCAATCTGCAGCTCAAAAGAGAGCAATGGTCCCACTAGACCCTAGCATCTCTTCAATCACCCTTAAAATTTACGTTCATCCTGAATCACATGATATCCTTTTCTGACATAGAATTGCTTTTCCCTTGAGAACCTAAACGCTACTGTCTTCTTCCTTTTATCTAGCTTTCCCTCTATCTCAAACAGCAGCAGACAACAAACAAATCAATAGCAGTGACGAATGATAAGGGCAAGGGTCATGACATGCATGATGCGATAGCATGTCCTCCATTTCACAGTTACAAACTTACAATAACAAAAAATTTCACTTTTACCCTACTTCGTCCCCTTCCATCTTATCCTATAGTTAACACTTTATGATAGCCATTGGTCCCATTCTACTACTATTCCTTCTTGTGAGGCTGACAAATCTGCTAGAAATTGTCGAAATCAATCTACTCCAACCAACTCCAATTGAATTTCACTTGTTCCAACTGATTTTTTTCCCTGCTGTGACCAAGAAATTGTATGGAACTGAATCTGCCTTGGCAGTACAAATTAATCACATCAACGAGGGACTTTCAAACATGTATGCTGAAATATCTAAAAGTGATGAAGCTGAAACTTCTAATAGTGTTTCCTAAATGCTGTAATTTTTGTGACAGCAATATGAAAGGAATTATGCAAATGAATGCATAATTACCTGCCAAAATTTCAAGGATAGCAGACACTATATTGGATGAACAAATCTCCTGCAAATGCACTTTCATATATCAGAAAGGAGGACAATTTGTGCTGTTTCAACCAAGGAATGCAATTTCGCCCGATATGGTATGGTACAGGTGGTACGAACTGGTCCACCCAACGACCATACGCGAACCGCCCCGTATTGGGCGGAAGATATCATGCAGAGGTGTACCACCCAGTACACCCCAAATATCAGAAGATACGAACGAAACATAACCATTATCAACATATTTCAATCCGTGGTGGTCGGATCTCAATTGTACCGCATCAAGGGTTGGGATTTAATTTGGTCCAACAGTCAAATGGGTGACACGATCGAAACATGACCGTTACCAACATGTTTCGATTGGTAACGATCAGGATCTCAACCATACCGTATCAAGGGTTGGGATTTAATTTGGTCCAATGGTCAATTTGATCATTGGAATTGACCATTGGACCCCATTTTGGGCCTGGTTCAACCCTTTAAATCCTTCCTCACTCCCCTCTTTTTAACACCCCCTCTTTCTCATTCTGTCATCTCTTTCTTAATTAAACATCCTAATCGGTGATTAGAGCTTCAATTGGAGGGAATAAAGTGGTCAAACGTGTCATATGATTGAAGGTGTCTTCAATTAGAGTTTCAATATGTAATCTAACATTGCTCGTATCTTTGTAAATGATTCAACATTAACAGTAGAAACGGAGAACATGTGGCAAAGATGCTACTCAACGTCAAAACAAGATAAATTTGCTATCTAATCCTTATTGAAATTTAATTAAAATTATATTAAATTATAATTAAAAGATTTAAAATAGGATTATTTTCTTTTCCAAGTATTTTTGTGGCCCTTTTTGGGCTTTTTTTGGGTTTGTCGATACATACCGGTGTCCCAACAGATAGTATGTCAGCACCGGCCGATCTGGGCCAGGACTAGCACCACTGGTCGACACGAGATGGCAAACCTTGGTTTCAAGTCCAGCGTCCCATATCCTTGATTATTTTGCAGTTACCTATAATATGGACGTTGAGATCACTAAACTTCAACAATGACTAGACTGATGCTACTTCCAAGTTCCATCCCTCACTACATTAGCAGGCCACCTATGCTTTACTGCAAAAATCAAAATGTGCCTGGGAAGATTTCTCTTCGTTGTGACCAGATCTTGTCCACCTTCTTACTACTACTTAGCTGGACATGGTGGTAAATTTAAGGCTTAGCATGTCACTTTGATTTTTCTTGGCCAAGCATATGGAAGGATGCATGTAACCACATAATCAACTGTAACATGTCAAAGAATCAACTACAAAACCATGAAACTGTCTGGTGGGCTTCAGTCCCTGCTTATACGTAATTGGGGAAAATATTAAGATGGATTTCATTGAGCGGTTAACCAAAGTTGAAGAAAAGACAGTTATCTTAGTAGTCATTGACCGATTAAGCATGCCTCCCTGTTGCACCCCTACATACAAGTCAAGCAGCCAAACTCTTTGTGAACCACGTAACAAATCTCCAAAGCATACAATAATCAATTGTATTTGACCAAGACAATTATACTTTTCTTTGTTGCCTCCCTTTGCAGGGTATCCAACTATGCATGAGCATAGTGAACCACTAACAGACTGATGTCCTATCAATAGCTTAACAAAAGAGCAGAAATCTGCTTGAGGCATCGTGTGAAACAGGCTTTACATAGCGGACACCTCATTTAGCCACTGACATTTTGGGGTTCGATAATAGCTAATCACATTCGAGTATTCCTAATCTTGATCCAAATAAAACATGTTCTCATGAATCATGATGCATACCCAAAAGTAGGTTAAATAAGGACATATCATTGTAAGAACTAAGAAGTCTAAAAACCATAAGTTATAACCATAAGTAGGTTAAATATTATTTGACAGCCTACAAATGTCATAATGACACTCAAAACGGAAACAGACCCCAACCAAACCCTAGATAGGGTGGTCCACGTCCTTGGCAGTTGGCCCATCTACACAAGGCAGCAGATGGTCCACCTATTGACTTCATTAATTACAACCAGCAGTCCTACAACAAAATGGAGAGGAGGCTTGGTCAAGTTGCAAAATCCAAAGAGTCCTTAACGGATATATCTTTTCCCAACCAAACTAAGGATATACAGCCTCAAATCGGCTAAAAAAGAGGAAGTAAGCAACTTCACTCTGTTGCCAAACTCTCCAAATAGCATGGATGACTGTGTAGCCTCGTCCACAATCAATGCAGAAATAAATAAATACAGCTACAGTGGCATAAAATGGATGAGATGATGGGAATATTTAGCTATTTTCAGAACATTTCTTATGCAACTATAGAGAATTTCTAGGATAATTTAGCATTAGACTTTATAAATGTTTCCTAATGGTATCTGTAGCCCTATAAAGATGTGCTCTCAAGCCTTAGACATATGGGTTTTGTTCTCTTTTATCAAGTCTTTGTTACAATAAACTTAGCACATTAATCTTAGTGCTAGATTTTCTCAGGTCTTTGTCTTTCTCAAAATAGAGATCTCTGGTAAGAGGGGCCATATCCTATCAAAACAGAAGAGGAGAAGAATAAGACAGACTTCAATAAAAAAGAGGGACAAAATCAATCATAGTGCTAGTTTTTTGCAGGCCTTTGTCTTCTTCCTCAAAATAGAGATCTCTGATAGGAGGTTACAAGTTCTATCAAAAAGGAGAAGGAAAAAATAAGACAGACATTAATAAAACAGAGGACAATAATGTGTATTCTTTAAGAAGTCCAAAAAGAAAGCAAAAGAATAAGAACAGAAGCAACAAGCACTAACAATCCACACTACCATGGAACATGCCATCTTAATATACAATCTCAGGCAAAACCTAGATTAAAGCTTCACAAGTTGCTGAAAATCAATTTTATAATTTGACAAACTTCACAATGGAGCACTCAGCGTGCTACCAGTATGACCCGACAAGAAGTCTGAACTTTTATGTAGGAATGAAGGTGATGCCTTGTCTTAGCATGGCATTGAAATCAAAGCAACTCAATATGTAACACTAGTTCGATCAAGCAATAAGTCCAACTATGTAAAACACTATTTATAAATCAAAGACCACTCTAAGGCAAAACAAGACAGCAATAGTTAAATCTTGAAGACTGAAAATTAGTAAATAGTAATCCACCTAACCAAAGTAAAATAGCATTACCTTGCTTCCTGAACAGAAGCTGGGCAAAGTTCAGCAGCAAATTTAACAAGCTCATTAAGACAGTGGGTCCATCTGTTTTTGTCAGAGTTTTCAAGAATTGATTGAAGTGTTATGTCAGGAGGAACCGGATCAAATTCCCTCCTCAAATCAAAAGGACGACCGGAATCCCAATAGCAACTCTGAACGATATCATCCTGCGAAACACATAAAAAACTATCAGGACACCACCAAGCAATTGGAAGCCAACATACTTAATGATCTATCATTTTGTTCCTGTTAAGAAATCCTACTCCTCAACCACTTAAGTGAACATGACACCAGTTCCAATATAATTAATAAATTTGTGCCTATATGATATGCTTTGCCAAATATAACTCATCTAGCATTAAGATTCATTACTTTCTTGTACATCTTTAAAATATATAATGCATGAGCTTTTCATGTCAGAAAGAGGATATTTATATCAAATAATAAACAGCAACCACATAGAAAAGATGAAAAAAAAACAAGCAGTTTCAGAAAACATCACCCCATTTTCTTCCAATACGTCAATGACAAAAATTGGTTCTGCCTCATGTAACCTATGATCAGCCCGTTCGTTTGCTGAGAAGTCTCTGATGTCATTTCTTAAAGCACGAACAGACCGAAGTAATTCTAGTGCAGTATGTCTTATCTGAACATCCACTGAACTGAGAAAAATAAGACCAAGCGCATCCACTTCTGTTGTTTGGAACTCAGACAAATCTGCTGACTGAAGAAACGGAGAACTGTTCACTTTATCACCTCCAAGACTTGATCTCTTGATGGTTTGAGCATCATTCATTGACAATTCATCAGACAAGCAAGCCCTCCACAAGCGCATAAGTTCCACTAGGCGGCCCAGTGAAGTTTGGATTATAAGAGGGAACTCATCAGGAAGTTTCAGTATAAAGTTAGCCATCCCTCTCACCACAGCATAACGACGATGAGGAAGATGCCGCACGATGCGGTTCATTACTTGCACAGCTTCTTCACGGACACCAGGATCAAAACTTATGCCATGCTGTGGAATGATTTCAGTTATTTTATCACTGCGGCCAACTTCTTCGATCAAATATGGTATGCACTTCAGCACTGACCTGAAGAGAGATGCTTGAGATTTTTCCTTCATTACAGCATCTGAAAAGCTTATTGAAGTTGATGTCAAAAACATTTCACAATTAACCCACAAATAATATGGAGAACAGAAGAATATAGGATTAGTAGTCAAACATTCTAACAACAGGAAATAAAAAACAATTTAAAGGAACACAGGTTCAAAAGATTCCAGTCAACTTTAAAAAAGCTCAAAAATTGGAATTTTCCCGAGGTCTTGATTTGATCTTGGTTTCCAGCTTTAAATGATAAAGCAAACAAATACATTTAAATTTTAAACTACAAATATAATTATAATTTAGCATCCCCCCACTGATATGATAAAGTTACTGCTGGTTACCAACCATGCAGAAGACAATCAGATGTAAGCAAGCATTCTATCTTTGAATAAGCCATAAATCATTTTCTTCATTCAAAATATTAAAAGATTGTTTTACATGAATTCTATCATGTTTCTATGTTTGGGCATTCATTTTGGATAGAATAGAATCGCTGCCATGTGTTAAATGACTATTAATCATGGAATCACCTCTTTGTGTCAACAAGAATATTTGTATTAGTCAAAGTTGGACACCTTAAACACAAAAATGTGCCTGCATTGTCCGATATCAGTGATCCAGTGTATTCATCATACATTAGCGCATCTATCGGAATGGTAATGTAACATTCAAGAAGGTCCTACTATTTCAGATGTCCGAGAACTAAACTTTGACAACAATATTAATCATGAAAGCAAAAGAAATGATACAACTTTCCAGAATTTCATGATCGGCAAAACCATCTAGTCGTCTAATTTGTTAATTACAACAAAATTTAAGCACAATTGCCAAACAAATATCTTGAATTCAGATGGAATAGTGAATATTTTTTCAACAAGCATAGCAGATTCCACTAATCAAAATACATTTTCCATATGTTGATATTTCCTCTCACATTATTTTTATAAATTTCCCTCCTTATTTGAACATAATATCTCAATTTTCTTTCTCAAGTTTGTTAAAAATAATTTTACTCACAAGTTAAAACTGAAAATAATTTTCATCTGACAGGTAATCACTGGAATACAATACAAAAGGACTGCATACACTTCAAACTTGACCATATCTTCAGATTTTAAGTGCAAACTTGACCTTTCAAATATGGTCAAGTTCCAAGCTATCATAAACAAACTTCAAGCTTAATTATATCTTTCTCAGTTACCGTGGTACTTGATATATGATTGCCATATTAGAAAGAGGAAAGTGGTACCATAAGATGAAATTTTAAAGCATTTTCCACATATCATAGTCATCACAAACAAATCTTATCTCATTAACAATTTCAATGTCCTGATACTCCATTCATTCATGAGGTTGAAACTCGACTGTCCAATAATGTTAAGTTTCCTTTAACATGGTATGAGATGCCCACCCAAACTAATCTATGGGTTCACTCTACTTTCTCAATAAATCAAGAATTGTACCCACATCTCTAAAATCTGGTACATAAAATATTATGTAATATGCGACTATGCGTAATCTTGACTGATTGTTGTTAAGGGCCTAATCCTCAAGGGAGACGAATGAAACAAAAGATGCTATGTACTTCCAAGTTCCATGTGTTCTTCTCAAAGGGATAAAAATCATTCACGATATGTATAACAGTAGAAATATGCTCCAGGAGGAAGCACTGATTATAATAAGATATATAGCAAGCTACATCAGATCTTCTTTTGCACCATACTAGCCATGCTCTAAACAAACTCTCTCATGCTGATGACTTAAATCACTTTAAATTTGCACCACTAGGACAATTTGATCACATAGATACATTTACAGAAAGTAACCTTGAATTAAGAAAAGAAAACATACCTATGGACGACTTTGGTGAAGTTAGAAGAGCTTGGCTATAGGCTTTATTACATAACCTTAGGATAGACTCAATTGCAGATTTCACTTTCGGAACATAATGGCCAACTCCATGGACTGAAATTATAACGAACAAGTTAAAAATAAGGTAATAGCAACATACAAAATTGCACAGAATCAAAATATAAAGGAAACAGTATTGAAGAAAAGACAATCTGGGGATCAGAAGTATCACCATGAAAAACTTCCAAGCCAAACCGTTGATTTGAAGGAGACATGACAATGGCAAGCAAAGCCCTAAGACCAATAACCTTTGCTTCACTCGAACTATCAGGTTTCAACAGTTCCAAAATCATATGATTCATGGTGAAATCTAAGTTGCTCTCAGCCAAAGTCACACAGAACTCGACAAGCTTATCATGCTGAACATCTTGAGTTAGCAGACCTTTCTTTAGGACAGTCAACAACTGTGACGTTACACTGTACAAATAATCCCATACATGATTTTTAGGTTGGTAATCTGCATAAACATTTAAATAAAATTTCACAACTCGGTGCAGGCAATCTAGAGCCATGGAACGATGGTTCTTGTCCTGAATTAATATGGAAACAAATTAGTTCTTGACAGGAATGGGACATCAAAAGGTGAATAACTGCCTTCAAATAACCAACCCAAGATGCCACAGCAAAAAAAATTTACCAGTAATCAAAATGAAAGTAGACTAGCATATAAAAGAAAACTATACAGAAAAGACTCACTTTAAGATGCTTATACAAAAGCTCCATATGAGGACCAAAGTTAATATTGAACGTTTGGGGATCGCCTAGACAGAGTAGAAGGGTCACCAATGGGAAGCCAACCTGGGAAAAAAGAAATTAATCGAGATTTATAAGGATTTAGATCAAAGACAAAAACAGTTAACAAATTGAAGTCTGCTACTGCAGCGAGAATGGCACTTCAGTGTCTTTCACAACCACAATTGATATATTACCTGCTGCTTTAAGTTTACAATTTTTCTTTTTAGAGGATCTGTCACAATTGGTCTTTTTTGTAGGTAGCGAGCGCTTTATGCATGTCAATATGCTGTGTGAAACATTAACATTAGTCCATGCAAATTTCCTAAGAGAAAAGGCCCAAGAAAACGAATTGACTTCTCTAATCTTCCCCAATGGTCATTAAAAAAATTGTTTTAACATACGAAATATCCCAGACATCCAATAGCAATTTTGCAATACGGTAGAGACCACAGAGTAACTGAGCTGAGATGAGGATCAACTATTATCAACGCTACTTGGAAATAGCATCCAATCCACAATAACGTCAGGTACATATCTGCAGATCTAATAGTTTTTTAACTCTGTAGTTATGGATCTTCAACATCAATAGATATGATGGACTTACAAGTACAAGTTTTCATTTTGTAGGCTTCGTATGGACTTATATTCATACATCTCACTACAATATGATCTCCACAGGCCCCCTTTTCTCCTTCTTGCCTCCTTGCTGAATTAGATGCAGACATATATACAAACCAATATACGTGCTTGTTTCATGCACCACTGTATTTATCAAACATTTAAACAGAAAAAAAAACTTAGCAAATTAGTACAAACACAAAGGCAATTCAACAATCCAAAAGTTTCATGTGTTTAATATCAATAACAACAAACAAACATGACAATATTGGTCTTGGCTCACAATAAAAAATGCAATTTTGGTTCCTAATCTAAATCCAGATTGAAGTAATTCTTTAAAACCTTCCTTATAATTGTCTTTTAGGATTATTATATCACATTATTTTGATTCCACCCAAGTATAAAACTTTATGCTGCATACGTTCCACGAGAATGTAACATCTCGGTCATCATTAAAACAACAACCTCCATCCACAAAACTTTAGACCTCCCATCAAGGTTTAAAATCGCAAACCGATATCGACTTCAACATATTGTCAAACAGAGGCACAATTTGTAAACCATACAGTATACAGACCTGTACCTCCATACATCACTGAAAAAAATAATTAAAAAATGAATACTAACAAGTACTAAGCCATATGATCCGATTTTGGTCCTTAGTCGGGCCAATAAATACTACTGGTTGGTACACAATGGTTTGACCAATATTTAAAGCATTGCTTCCAATGGTGCGCTCATCTCATGTCTCAACAACATTCATAAGGCAGCTTAGACTTTTCCATGATAATTGTATGTTTTTGTTCTCACTGTATTAAATCTAGCACAAGGACACGGAAAATCGACAAGTTAAAAAAATGTTACCTGGTTCAGCATATTTAATCAAACCCAATGTGTACAACTTGATTACTCTTAAATGTCTGTTCAGGTTGAGATCGAGCACGATTTTTCTAGATAGTGAGGCTTAATGCAATCCCACCAAGCCAGTCACTTTGCAAACACAATGTGAAACAAGAAACAACCCACTGACACAATGCATTTACATTGGACATACACTTCTAGTTGTTAAAGTTGGCACCAGCTACCAGGTCAGGAAACCTTGAACTGCTTGCACATTAGGTGGGGTTTCAATTGGGCTGAGTCTCAGCGCCAAGAATGTACCAGATATAAACCTTACATGAGCAAGCCTATTCATAGCCAGACCTTACATATAACAGAGCAATCTAACCATCTATGTATTAACGTTACATTTTGTAAATATTATGTGGCACACATCAAGCACCTAATGTGCAAGCAGTTCTTTTTGGAGCTGTTTACAAGATATTAAAAAAATAAAGAAGGGTTCCTATATTTTAATTGTGTGGACCTCTTTTTCATTCAGTTTCACATAATAGAAATATTACTAATGTTGTATCATATTTGGAATAAATTGATATGTGTACACTTCAATATGTGCCAATGACCATACAAATACAAGCATCAAGCACCAGCAGAAACCAACACAGACAATACAAAGATGTGCCCCGTGTTACAATGTTCAGAACTTATATATAGTGTGCTTTATGTGTGGCGTTAATTGAAATGAAATTTGAGAAAATCGATAACAATGTACCATGCGGTTGACCCATTTAGAAGATCTGAAAATATTCAATTCCTCCAAAGCCTCCCCAGGATCCAACAGCAAAACCCAAATGGAGGTCAAAGGCTTCAAAAGAAGCCAGAAAGGGGCCTATAAAATTTGAAAGGTTTCTAACAACAGCATATCTAATTAACATCAGTCAGTATCAACTCAACACAAAACAATCATACCAATATTACCAGCAGACTGGAGATTTAGTACACTACTGAGAAGACAGTTGTATACACATCCAATGTCTAACAAGAGACTATAATTCTCAATCTAATTTTCATATTGCTATAGAACAGTAATGAGCTTGGAAATTAGATTACTATTCCAGAAACCTTCAATTTGAAACATTAACCTTCAGTAGAACAGTCAACTAGCAGATATAAAATCCTGGCATAGTGAAGAGAAGAAATTCAGATCTAGTATGTATCTTCAAGGAGCTACTTACTGCTATGTGCTTGTTCTGTTTCTCCATCCAATGCATCAGTTTCCCTCTAATTCGAGCTACTGCTTCATACCATAATGCCAGTGCAGAATCCACTCCCAACGGAGGCCAATGGCTTTTTCCGCCCTCTGCAAGCGGTGCCAATATGCTTGAAAGCATATTACATAAGGCATGATATAATTCACTCTTTCTCTTGTGAGGAGTACAATTGAGAGGATTAGCTTTTGCCACAAAGGATGCTGATGCATTCAAACCACCCTCTGTCTTTACCTGGCAAAAGTCAAGGACCAAGTCATACCATCAATAGACAAAAGAAAAAGAAGAATTTCTTTAAGCATTAAGACAGAATTTTTTTGAAGATAATTTAAGTAAAAGAAAAATATTTTCTAAAAATTTTTCAGTTCCTCTCACAATAGTCTTATTCTGGAGTTATTTAGTATCAGATAGAAGCTTCCTACAACTAGGCACCAATATAATACTTTTATTGAGTATTAGCTTTCCTTCAGTCTTTTGTTATATACCTTCTATCAATTGATTTCCTTTTTCTTTTTTGAACTAGATTAAAATCCCTTTTCCCCGACAACCAAATTTACTTCTAATAAAGTCTACACATCACATAAACTTGAGCTTTGCTTAGCATGAGCATTATCACACATTGTATAATTCATATTAACAATTATTTTTTCAATATTGACATATCCCAAGTGCACATTAACTAAGCCGGTAATTTTGACAACTTAAAGCAGCCTCTTCAATAGCAATCCTCTAAACAATGTCGCTTGCACAAAAAAGTATGGTTCACCTTATCGATCCGTACTGGTGTACCAACTAGCTATCGGTACGGTACGTACCAAGCCGTACCAAGTATACCGACACATGGTACAACGAAGCATACTGATGTACCGCTCATATACCGGTTTCCTGTCGGACCGGTACATATCGCTCATACCGAGCGACATGCCTCAGTACGACAAACCTTGCAAAAAAGTGTCATTTATAACAAAATAATCAACTAAAGCCCAAAATAACTAGAGCTCCTAGTGGCCTGAGCTAGATTGGACCCATTGAGCCAGACTATAACCAAGATAGATCTGAGATTCTGACCAAGTTACTTCAACTTTCAAGCCCTGCACAGGCTGGCTCATATCATCTCAAACGAATTTTTGACATCATCTATATTCAGCTCGGGTCAGTCCAAAGCTCATAACGAAAGCTATAATCCTCCATGTTCAACTGTTGATTTTTCTCGAATGGACATTGTGATGCCTATTGTGCTAGATGCACCAAGCTACCTGCACCATGGCTGTCTGCCATCCTCCAGGTCTGTCAACACCACTTCCAGAGCCAAACATTGTTCACCCTCTCGCATTCCCTCTTCTTTCTTCTGCTTCATCTTATCTCTTTATCGACTGCTTGATGCCTCTCTATAACTCATCCAATGCCTGACACAGCCTACATACTTCTGGAATGTCCTCTTACTCGACACTAAAGCCACATCTAATTTCTTATCTATGGCCACATCTAATTTCTTATCTAAGGCCACATCCCTAGCCTCTGCCTTATCTGAGGCCTCATCTCCTTGAACACTAACGCCACCTACAACAGTTGGTTCCACCACAACTGAGTCTGCACCCTTCCATCATTCTCTCTCTTTTCCCCCTCTTTCGTCCTTTTCCTACCCTGATGCTGTTCATAGAACTTGAGAAATCTGCAGACTGGCAAACCTTATATTGGGTATGCTAATAATTAATATAATAATAAATAGTATTGTATACTGAAAAATCTTTAGCTGTCTGTTGTCTTAACATGATCTGATAGCACAGGATTGTGTATGCTGATACCTTTGTGGCCAAACTTAAGTAAGCTTGCATTTCTGGCATTTGAACAAACATTGAAATTGCTACATTCTTTTAATCTGTACTGTCATATTACTATCCTGAAATGAATAAAAATAAGATGTTACCACAAACAAATGCGATTAGCATGAGAAGTAACAATATGATAACAGATCTCATGTCAGCACAGTTTCCTTTTGAGGAACATAGGAAGGGAAAAAGCCCAGTGTCACCACATTGTTTATAAAAGACTGAAATTCATTTTCACTACTAATCTTGAAGTGCAGATCACAAGAAAAAGCAATAGCTTATTGGAAAAGGATCATCTTATTTCAGATGGCCTGGTCCCTTTTCTTTATTAAGATGACTATTTTGTGTTTTTTTCCTTTTAAAAGCCCTGTCACCTACGGCTCACTCATGAGTATTCCTCTCCTCTGTCCAACGTTTGATCACCACGGCTGCACACAATCGGCCTCATCTACTGTGCATCTCCTCCATCTTCTTTCCTCTTTTTCTTTTTCCTTCCTTCTTCCTTCTTCCTCCCCCCTCTTCCAGCATAATGGTACCGCAGTATGTTCTGACATACCATGTCTCAAGACACACTGGAACAAACCAGACCTGTACCAATTTAGCCATGGACCAAAACAGATCTAGCACCCGAAATTAAAAACCTTGCCTAGCACTACCTCTGTTACTTGTCAAGGTGCTTTCTCTAATTAGGTCACATGATAGCAAGTCAATTTGCAAAATGTTTGTCGTTCAAGACTTGTTTTGCACAAAGATAATGGAGAAGAATATAATCCATAAGTTTGTTTATAGTTCCATAGCATTTGCAAGCAGCATCGAGCCATCAACTTTGAGTGAGCGGCCTTAATATAACATTCTTAAGATTTGCTGTAAATATCATTGCAATGACTCTCGTAAGTCACATATTATGGTGATTGTAGATAGTGGACATATAACTTATGTCCTCGTAGAAAAGTTACAGAAGTTTCTTTAAGTATTAGTTAATTACCTTGTCCATAGAATCTCATTTTGTGATTTTCAATATTTTCCATGTCGACATATAGGCAATGTGTCATTTTTGTACTCCATGTCCATGCTTATGCTTATCGCATAAAAAAAGTTAAGTTAGAACATCATTCTCAGAAGAAAACCAGTAATTTGATGATTTAGTAGTGTCTGGTATTAATAGGATAATAGCTTGACTTAAACAAAGCAAGCAATATTAATGATCCATCTGAAGACATAGCTTGAAAAAAAAAAAAAGGCTTCATCAAACAAAACTATGATTTCATGTACATGATATGTAACACATACTCCCAATTTAAGGTAGCGCATCCCATTGATAATACTAAGTGTCTCACTTCTGGCAACACTAGTATCGATACGCCGAGTATTAAGCTCCGTGAAAAATCGTTCCGTCACTGAACTGAACCTGCATGAATAGATATACTATACATCAACAACTTCTAAGAAACAAATTAATCTCCAAATGAGATGCAATGTCTTCCTACAACGATGATTTTTTAAGCTAAAAGACAATCTATTTAGGTTCAAACTTTACCCAAATGATCAAATCGATCACCGAGTGTCAATTCATGTGGTTCACTTATACTTGCAAATAATAGTGCTCTTGGAGCTTTTTATACAAATAATAGTACTCTGAAGTCTGAACTTAACTAAACATATGACTTTTTACAAATCTCAATAGCTGCAAAATATCCATATGTTGTTGTTGTTGTACTCTCGGAGCTTTATACTTGCAAAAATGGAGAAAAGTAAATTGTGATCATCAACATGTAGCATTTTTTAAATCTTATTATTTGAGAATGACATAGCTCTAGCTAAAGTAATATAAAACAGCACATGTGAGTTTATTAACTGATATTGTCATATACAAATTTTGCAATGATGTCATAGAAGGATGGAATCCATGTCAAAAGTTGTACATATTATGCTTCAAGCACAAGTAAGTTGATATGGTATTTGAAGTGATAAACCATACATAGTGAGCAGCAAAACATAATGGTATGCTATATACAAAAAATGGAGATGCTAAACTAGGGAAAAGTAAGAGCATGATTTCATAAACAATTATATACAAAAGGAATGAAAAAGAAAAGGATTGTCAAATAAAATGAGATTAACAAGTTCTACAGGGGAAAACCTCATAGTGATCATAGTTTAAATTTAAAATACTTTGGGCTGATTGGTATAACATTAGTCACTGAGAACATGGTTTAAAAGTTAAAACACCTTGATTGGATCAATACACACCAGTTGGTATTTACCAATCCAACCAAGCATTGATATTGGAACACAAACATCAGTACAACTCGACATATTACTCATGCTTTTCATTATTTTATTCAATGATATCATACAAAATTTTCAAAATTCAAAAGCATGAAGCGCTTTAAGGCATTGATATCCCTTATTGCCTAAAGTGCTAGGTGCTCACCTGAGTAAAGTAACATGCTTACCTCTAAAAATTTATAAAAAATTTAAATATAAATATAGTCATTACAACAAGAAAAAGGGGTGGTGGGTAACGGCAGTGCCAATGATGAAAGGTACCAAAGAGAGAGAAAAAGAGAGAGAAGGGAAAAGAGAGAACCGAGAAGAGGGAGGGGACTGCAGCAGCAACAATGGCAGAAAAAGTAACTTTCACCATCTTGGATAGGTTTCCTACAGGAAAGAAATGTTTAACAAGAGAGAAAATGACCAAGAAAGAACATACTTAAAATGTAATTCAGTGATTGATTTAGATTTACAGATATAATATTAATTATCAAGTATATAGCTATAAATGAAACAAGAATGTTGCCAGACAAGAAACAGTGTACCCTGAAAATATTTGATTTATAATGAGAATATCAAAAAGGATGAAGAAGTATAAATAGGAAAGGGTTAACAACTTAATGCACAAGCCATAAGTTGGGCAAAGCACCAAAGGCTGATGGAATGATGTTAAGTCATGCAAGCTAAACTTAACATGTCCAAAGAAGACCATAATGTGCATACCAAAAGGCATTTTCTCACTGGAATTAAATAATAACAATTTGCAGTTCAAACTTCAAAGTAACAAAAACATTTCTTGGTTTAGAAAATGAATAGCTACATCAAATAAAAAATGCATTCAACTATTTAAGAACCTTTCTAAAGAGAATTAAAAGCTTTAAAACAACGCTATCCATAATCAATTAGTCATGTCACTTCAGTGCTTTAGATGATGTTAATGAAGGAGGTAGTTGACCTTTCACAGAACTGCCAGTATTACTATACCTCTACCCACAAGTCACCAAAACCTCGATACTATGCCTCACAGGAAAAAGCAATGTTCTACATGATGGATTCAAATAATGATTGTTTGAAATTACACTCATAAAATACTAGATTAATTCTTAAATCGTAAGATGAAGAGAAGAAAATAGTGGGAAAGAAGATCAAGAAAAAGAGAACTGATTCCAGTAAAGCAGCAAAAGGAGACTGAACTGGTTTTGAAATCACCATAGGCTTATAGTTTTCTCCAATCCTTCCAACTACATAAATGAAGCATTTAAGTGCACACTTTTGTCTCATAGACCAAAATGAAAAGGATGACTACTCAAATTTTCATATTTCGAACTTGCTTATGGAACTTCAAGTATTAATATGAAAACCATGGGCTAACCCATACACTAACATTGTTGCTTAACAAAATATGATTCATATCAAAATATATAAATATCCATTCATAGATTAGATGTTGTCATGAAACACGATGATTCTTCAATAACTATGGCGGAAGAGACTTTCTGTTATGAAATATATATAATTTAACAAGCTAAGAATAAAAAATGTTCTTACGAAGTGGCAAAACGTAATATGACATCATTGAAAGAAATGCATACCCAAAAATAAAAAGAACGATGATTCAAAAGAGGAAATATGTACAGATTAAAGACCAACTTAATTCATAACCAGTAAACTGCCATCCTTATCTTAAAAGCATTTAAGGATGGCATATTCAAAGTAACAAAACATAATATGACATCATTGGAAGAATTGCACAGGTAAAAATAAAAAGAACGATGATTCAAACTAGATAATATATACAGATTAAAGACCATCTTAATTCATAACCAGTAAACTATCATCCTTATCTTAAAAGTATTTAAGGATTTTGGGCTTCAATATAAGTATTGATTCCGAAGCCAAAAAATACTTTAATGAAGCATAAAGCAAGTGAATACATACCTAATCCGAGATAAAGCACCTAAAAGTTGCGCAACAAGATCTAAGAGAAGCCCTCGTAGATCAACCAATGAAGGGTAGTCAACCTGGCTAACAACCCTATATATATATATACACACCATCAAACAAAGGTTCAGCAACAGCAGATATATCTTCATGAATAAACCACAGTAAAAATACCTTAATGGATTCATCATATGACGATTAACAAGTGAAGATAATTTAGCAAATTGAACTTAATTTGTGCAACCATCAGCTCTTCAGCTCATCCCTCAAAAAGACTCAAATCTTCTTTTACTTTACCATAGTAAACAAAAGAGAAAAATAAAGAAACATGGTGAAATACATAGGACATCTTATTACCAGAGGCCTTAAATTCTTCCACACAAGGTTTAAAGTTCTGGGTTGTGCTAGACCATACAAGCTGACACAAACAATTCTGGCCAAGGTCCAGTACCACAACTGGGGTCTTATTCCAAAAGCACAAGAGTGTAGCATCAACTTAATATACATTGTTCTGGTATGGTACAGTGTACGAAAGAACAATCTGCATCTTGAACTTCAAGCCAGATCAAAAATAACCAAAGAAAATATCTCAAATTGCATGTACCAACAGCATAGTGCATGCAACCTAAAATCATGTATATTACTTCAAATTCTGGTGGCATTTAAAAGTTTTTCAGTAAGAGATACTTGAACACGTCAGAAAAGCATCAAATAAGATTGGAATAAATAAGTGGCAACAAATACGAAATTAGGATACTAATTTTACTAATCTACTTGTTTGATATGGTACCAGGCAACATACCAAGCCCTACCATCCGGTTTCAGCTAAAAGAAATACATATCAACCAGTACCAAACCATAGTGGTACAATACAGTCCAAACCAGTAAATACCACTCAACATATGCCATACCAACCAATATTTGAAACCATGGTTCTGATAGGTAATGTGTCATCGTGCAAATCGAAGAAAGGATCCTCGATATATTTTTTATTCCATGTACACTTAACGATGTCAATTTATATTTACAGATACCATGGTCGTCATAATATATCATCACCAGTCAACCTTTCTTCATCAATATGAATTTGCATAACCAATGACTATTTAGAAAATATTTACATGATTACTGTCTTTTCAAAAATTCTCTCTTTCTCGATTCTCTTTGCCCTGTGTTGCCCACATCTTACCATCTCCGATGCTCCTCCTTTGTCTCCTCTTCCTCTTCCACTTCTCTCCTCCTCCTATACTCCTTTTGCACCTCCCCTCCCTCCTCAGTGTCGACCAATACGCGGGCAAACCATCAAGTTATACCCAATTAGTACCAGTCCAACCAGCAACTCGTATGGGTCTTGTACAGAGATTTAAAACCATGGTTGAGACTAGTGTCTCAAGTAGAACAGTAGAGTGCAAGTCGATATACTTTAAAGCTACTTTCAATCAGCGTATAAATATATAAAAACTAAAAAACTTCTCAATCAAAATAATATTTCTGAATATTCACTTCTCAATGTGTATTCATAAACAATACTTCCGATGTTTCCATCATTAAAAAAAAAAACTTCTCGAACCCATGTATAAGTCGTTGGCACTAATGAAAGAAAAAGAAATAAATAAAAGCCAATAGAAGCCTCACCTGTCTGCATTAATTAGCCAGTCAAACACAAAATTTTCAAGACCAGACCATAGTTTTTCTGAAATAACTTAATTCAAGTTAGAAGATATGTAATGTAACAGATATCTGCAGGACTATATGAGATAAATTGGTAAAAACAATAACCTGTGATTCCTTCCTGGGGACAACACTCCACGAAGCGAATGCAAGCAGAGCAGAATATGCACTCCACTGCAAGCTGCGGGAGAAAATAAAAATGTATCGAGTGTGATAAAATGAACGCCAAAATCCACATGGTGCAATACGGGGAAACATACCTTCCTTTGGTACGTAGAAGCATCATTTGCACCCTTAGGAGATTCACTGGAGATGAAATCAGAAATTAATGTGTAAACCACAAGCATGCAATTGGGTTAATTTGTATAAGATACTAGCCAAAAATAATTAATTTTAAAATTAACACGTCTTGCTTGTCTAGAATAATTTATGAACTTAGAAACATCACTCGGACTCTTTTATGAAGCATGCACGTGGAATCATTTCGGAGGACCATCATTAATGTGAACCACAAATGGCGATGGAAAAGTTACGCTACTTCAAGGAAGAATATGTACGGTCCCACTTTGCATGTAGATAAACTACCATTGATCTGGAAAAAAATTACTAGGTGCATTCAAGCAGGATAAATCGGCAGATCAAGTCCTTCTTGCTGCTTTATATGGCCAGCATATGCTTGTTATAGACCAAATATTATCAGGATCTTCAATGGCATGCCTTTCAATTTGTTTCAGAACATAAGTATGACTATGAGCCCTTCCTACCATATAACTGGGCAGAATATCCATCTGATGCAAAGATCAGATATCATGTCACTACTAAAAACTTGCATGATCAGTATATAGTTGTCGAATACCACACATCATCGAATTCTTCAGGTGACACGTTGATACTGACTCTGGCAAGCATGAGGTGACAAGGTTTTATAGATTACAGGAATTGAATATGTTGGTTTTCCTTCACAAGGATCTTCCACGCATGCCAATGCCCATAGAGCATCAAATTCTTGAGGTCACATGCTAGTTTATGGAGCACCCAACTGCAGTCTATGGAATCGATTGATGCTACCTATCATACCTCATTAACTTCAAACTAGCATTTCTGTATCTATGCTTGAATGTTTGAAGTCTTTTCGCTTAATTAGAGCAACTACAGCTTGAAGTATGACATGGAACACTACCCTGCCATGCCGATTGGCCAACCTTTGTGTCAACCTACATAAGCCAAAACCTAAGCTAACCATGTGTTGGCACCTTCAACACAGATCAGCATGACTACAAAATCAATTAACATAATAGGTGGTTCATGCATAAATAATCAACCAAAATTAGCAAACTAGTTAAAGTAAAAATAAATTCTTTCCATGTACCTTTCTCTCCAACGAAGAAGGGCCTCCAAGAGTGGCACAGGTGTATGTCGTGCAACCATAGCTAATGAATCCAATACTTGCTCATAAGCTGGATCAGACGGCCTGAGATATTGTCCATCCTGCTTTAAAAAAAGGTAGCTAGATATGTGAAATGTAAAATAACCATATAGCATTCCACACGCATGATTCCAAAAAAAGAGTTCAAGGTCAATCATTGTAGCTCAGATCAAATAAGTGGGGATGTAAGTTAATAATTGAAACCATTCAACTGCTCGCTCCCTCCCAACACTAGCCCAACACAAAAGCATAAAAAAAACAAAAGTTAATAGTAATATCAAGAAATCTTTTTTTATGCATCAAACCATCCCAAGATGGAAATCCATAATTTCACAAAACAATCTTTATCTTTTCCTATTAATCAATAGAAATTTCTCCGTTATTTAACGAAATATGCAAACGTTATATACATTATGAAGTGTTAGCATGTTTCAACTCACATAGGACATATTGGAATTGGCAATTCAAATGTCATTGTAACTGCATCCTGACAACATCTACCACATCATTTTGGAGACAAAAATGAATCACATGGAGCAAATAAATGTATCAAGTTTTGTCACTTCATCATTTAACGATTATTTCCATTACCACCTGAGACTTCCATCTACAACGTCCTCAAATGGGAGCACACCATCGTTCTGTATAATCTGAACTGTTAACTAAGATGTGAAGAGAAACAAGAAAACCTAGAAGTAGTTAAAAGAATGCTTGCTTTATGCATTTTTGAGAGTTCACATTCAAACGGAAGTATTGCCACAACGAGGACAGCGAAAACCAACTGCCTACGTGCAAGAAAGAAGGAGAAGAACTACGGTAATAAGATCGGCTTGAATTAGGACCAACGGCCCTTTATCCTCGACTAGAAGTCAACTCACTGCCCGATGCGGAGGGTACTAATTGACCTAAGAGAAAGTATTATTTCCGTAGTAATCACAAAGAAAACCAAAACTTCGAGAACAGGGTGGAGAAGCAGACCTGGGCCTGCGCGGTCTCGATGCGGCGGCGGGCGAGAGGGAGGAAGCGCTGCAGGAGCGCCTCGACGATGAGCTTCGCCGCGCTTCCGGCGTTCATCGCGGGGGATCGAAGGGGAGGAAGGGAAGAAGAAGAAGAAGAAGAAGAAGGGGGAGGAGGAAGGAGGCGCTGCTGCCGCCCGGCCGCGGGAGCGAAGGTTGGGTCCGGCGAGATCCTTAACGGGCCATCGCATTTGGGCGAGCGAGTCGGTCCTCGTCGGGTCAAAGGAAAGCTGAGTCGGCTTTCAAGCGACGGGATGGGTTTATTTGGAAATATGACACGCATATATTTGCATATTTATCCTTACATTGTTTGAAATTATCAGATCATTACTGGATTTTAATATAGCATAAAAATAATAACATTTATAATATTGAAATTAATTAAAAAATAATTACAGTTATTATAAAATAATAATAATAATAATAATAATTTTTGTAATATTCATTGTGTTATTCAATAACAGTTCCCAATTTTCACCTAATACTCAATATTTTTAGTTAAAATTTTAAAGACAACTGAGAAACATAAAATCAAAATTAAAAATAATCAAAATATTTTAATTTTTTAATTTCTCATAAAATCAGAAGCAACTGGAAATTTTGTTTATCTTATTTATTTGGATCTGTGAATTTTAGAGCTTGACCTCCTGCCAAGCAATTCCCAGGCATTAAACTTGTAGTAATGGCTGAAAATTATAGCTGATTTATCTATAGACACTTTTTTATTCTTAAATTCTTGTTTCAAAAGTGCAGAATAAATTTGGGTTTTTTTTTGTATGCAATTATTGGTGTCTTCTTTGTCACAAAGCAGATAAATAATAAATGCACATTATTATTAGTGACTTTTTTATCATAGTAAATTGAAACATTTAATGTTGTATATTAAAATATTACTCTCTTAATCATCTAAAATCTTGATTTTTATCCAATAAATTTTAGTTATATATATATATTAAACTATAATATTTTTGCTGATGCAATAAATCATCCAAATGATATAACAAAGGGTTAGTTGCATATTACGTCATGTAATTAGTTATATTTAGTATTTCGATCCCTATACTTTCAAAAGTTACACTGGGATACTAATACTTATGAAAATTAAATATTTAATCTTATTTTTCCTATCGACTTGCTTAGTGGTAAATCAATAGAATCAATACGTATTCAGTGGTAAACCTTATAATATTTCTATCAAGAGAGTTGATGACATAAAAAATAATAATATTAAATATTTTATTTTTATAAGTTTTGGTTTCAATATAATTTTTAAAAATATATATATCAAAATAAATAGTTAATTATAAAAGATAATGTATAATTAACCCGAAAATAAATATTCATATCCCTCTTTCCACACAAACTATGATGAGTGACTACACATGCAAGGAGGATCATAAATTGTGTTTCTACTTTCTCATTCACCGTTGTCCCACTCTATCAAACAAAAGAACAAAACGAAGGACATGTCATCCACTGCCCTCATCATATGCCATCATATAATACAGGCTGAAGAACACCCAAAAGTAGTGCAGAAATGAGTATGCTGCTCCATGAAACCAATGCAAGCTTTTGCAATGATAATTCAGTAGCCAGATCTGACACTACCCAAAACCAGTGCAAAAGCAATGAATTCAGTCAGCCATGCTTCTACCATGATTGCTCACAACCCTGCAAAGATGATGAAGAAACAGGAGAAATGGCTGTGAGCTCCCTTTTGCAAGTGGCACACTCTGGCAACAACAAGCCTTCAAAAACAAAAGCAATTGGGCTGAATTAAGAATGAATGAACAATTAGAAAGTAGCATTTGAGTGTTCTAAAATACCACATAAAATTTTAAGACTTCAGCATGTGTAGTGTGGTAAGAAAGAGTACCAATGAAGAGAAGTTGAGATAGAATTATTGGGTTTGCCAAAAAGACTACAATAGTTTTCAATAACAAATAAAAATTTCAAAAATTATAATTAATTCAACTATAATTGAAAAAAAAATTCGGATTAGTTTTTGTTAATTCAAACTTAAGTATTTTACATTAGTAACTAAACTTACTAAGTTAATGGATCATCTCTAATATCGGGTTGTGGTAGATTGCATCGTAGCAAACTTACTAAACTTATTAAACTAATCAATTAGTTCTATAATGCAAATTGGAACATGATAATATTTTATAATAATAATTTAATTTTTTTGGAATCCATGTGGAATAACATTTATGATATTGGCACTAATAAAAATTATAATTTTGACATTCTTTTTTCTTTGGTTCTTATTATTATACACATTTCTCCTCGTGTCCACTCCTGTCAAGATTTTAGGATTCTTATGATGTAATTTATGAAGTTTATTTTTTTTTATTTTTTGGCACTTTAAAAATCATGTTTTCTAAGTATTTGAGGCGATGTCATATTGGTCAAGCTGCTATACAATGTATAAAGCTAAGAGAACTATATAAATATGTCCTCATAATTGTAATATTTAAATAAAATAAATTATAAAAACCACGTAATGAAAAAAAAATTCTTATAGACATAAGGCTATTTTTCTTGAAAAAGTTATTCTTTTTTGGTTTTTCTGGAAATGTATCACTGTTTTTATTTTTTGCTCTTATGTATTATAATATCATAAATGTCTATCGTTGTCGTTCGTCATTTATGCCACCACCATGAAATTCTCATTGTCATCCTCTCCGCCTTTGCGTATGGGGTTCTCTTTATTATCTTTGTCATCTCACTATCATCACCCCATTCCCTCTCTGTTTTCTCTCCTTCAATCTATTCAATATCCAACCAATTTATTAATAAAACTAAGTTATAAAAACTCAGGACTACTTGCTCCCCATCAAGATAGTATCATACTTCCACTACCGTGATAGGAGTAGCCCTATCATTATTAACAAGTTTCGCTATATACTTTTTAATCATTCTGATGATGATCATAGATATAAAGGTGAGGGAGACCACAAGAAATTAACGAAATTAAGGAAAAGAAGAAGAATGACAAAAGGCTTACAAACATCGACAAATAAAAAAAAAGGTGGAGATATAGCTACAGATTCGATTAGAAATCGATAATATCTAAATTCGATAAAGGAGGAGAATATACGAAATGAGCAGGATGAGGGTACCGAGGCAAAGGTGAAGATGAAAATGCAACGGATTATAATAATAAATATTTACTATATTATAAGAAATAGGAGCATAATATGAAAAAAAAAGGGTGGTACTTTATGGAAAAAAACTTTTAAAAAAGACTTAAAAAATATCGAAAATATATTTTAATTTATATCCTGACAAGCTTATAAAACTTTAAAGGCAAACACAAATAAGTACATAGATTTAATTGTAAGCATTAACTTTAATCCCAATAAAGTCAATTTTTATAGTAATGGTTAATGATCATTAACCGAGTTGATTGATTAAAGCTAACGTACTTATTGGAGAATAGAGGGATTAGAGAAACTAACACACAAACAAGGAAAAATTTAAGCGCGTAATATGTCCAAAAAACAATTTTATCTGGAAAAATAATAGCCGTTGGATACATGACGTGGTGCGAGGTTGATCGTTTGATCATTCCATTGGGTAACTGAACCCCGTGTTGCTCGTTACCGATGGATTCCGTGGAAACGCCATCGATTCGTTTCCTCGCTCCGCGAGCTCGAACTCTTCCCTCTTCCCACCCGTCTCGCTTCGATCCGTCTCCATGGCTGCCGCAGTTGCTACGGCGGACCCTCGGGGTCGGCATCCTCCGGGCCGTCGAGTCGACGACAAGAACCTGGTGTTCGACACGAGCCCCGTGGTGGAGGCCGTCGCGAGCTTCGACCAGATGGGGATCCGCGACGAATTTCTTCGGGGCATCTACGCCTACGGGTTCGAGAAGCCATCCGCGATCCAGCAGCGGGCCGTGGTCCCCATCATCCAAGGCCGCGACGTCATCGCCCAGGCACAGTCCGGTACCGGAAAGTCCTCGATGATCTCCCTCTACGTTTGCCAGATAATTGACACCACCTCCAGAGAGTATGATCGTTTCTCGCATCGTTTTCATATCACATAACGTTGATTTCTTTTAGGTCGGTTTACATGATGGTGATATGAACGATCTGTTTTGACTGTTACGTTTGTTATTGGAGAGGAGTGTTGATTGTGATGAGTGTCGGAAACTCTAGCTATTCGGATGAACACAAAACATACTATACGATAACTGAGACTATAATCAGAGTATAAATTGTGCGGAGTTCTACAAGTTAGAATCCCTCTTGCCTCTTTTTTGCCCTTTAATTCAAGTAGCAATAAGCTAAAGGATATTTTCCATCAGGGTGTAATACAAAGAGGCTACCAAGTTTGGCATCCTATGCACTGGTTAAACAATAAAGTGCCCGGAGTTAAAGAAATCAATTGTTGTTCTGATTGATATTCAACCCAGAAGAATGCAATTTAAATTTTTTAAGTTAAAGAATCACCAAAAACGATGTGGCTTATAGGCATTCATTTCATTTTTGAAGACATATCAGGTTAAATTGGAATAGGAGCAAGTAAGTTAAAGTTACCATGATTTTAATGTTTGATTCTGTCAAATATGAACCAGTAAGATATGCATGCTTTAGGCCAGACAGTCCTATCCTTTTAAGGAAATTTGTGAATCCAAACACTTCTTGCTTATTTTCTGTTGCTTTTGAACATGGCATGTTTTTTCCTTTTATTTGTTGGGATTTTTCATTCTATGACAAATAAAATGGACCCAAAACTTTTTATATCTTGACTAGCATTGTCTCTTCATCATATGGTTTGCTTGTTTGTCTTTGGATGCATGAGTCGGTTCTTTGTGATGGTTAAATCTGCTAAAACCTTCACGATTTATTCTTGTCCTTCCTAGTAGCTAAAGACAAGTAATTTTCGCTGTTCTTTTTGGCTTATCTCTTTTTTTTTAATCTTTTCGTTTGCTCCTTTCCTTATTCTGAAACTCTTGTAGCCCCAGAGAGTTTTTCTGTATGTTTTAGGATTTAAAGTAATTACCTTTTCAACGTTAAAAAATGATAACACTTAAACATATGCTATAGTTTATTTAAATACCAAGTTTTTTCTATCTTATTCTAGTATTTCATTTGCTTCTCTGTTTGTTCATCTGTACTCCGAGTGTCTTAAGTCTTACAAGATCTTGGGTATTCATAATTTACCTGTTTGTTACCTCCACCTTGTACACCTCATGTTGGCTAGTGAAACATTTCATATGATATGTGGACGTGGTGAAACCCAGCTTTCGATTGTTTTTAACTAGTTATTTGTAGAAGTACTCTTTAACTTTCGTATAGTGCAGGCACTTATTCTCTCCCCCATGAGAGAGCTTGCTGCTCAGACTGAAAAAGTAATACTAGTTGTGGGATATTGCATAAATGTGCAAGCACATGCATGTATCGGTGAAAAGAGCATAGGTGAGGATATTAGAAAACTAGAGCTTGGTGTTCATGTGGTTTCAGGGACACCAGGTAGATTCTGTGATATGATCAAGGGCAGAGGAGCTTATGCACAGAAGCCATCAAACTTCTAGTCCTGGTGGGTTTATGCAGAGATATACCGTTTTAGGCTATGTTTTAAGAAACATTAAGTTAATTGGTGACATTGGCAAAGGATGAAGATCGATGAAATGCTGAGCAGAGGTTTTAATGATTAGATATATCAAGTGTACATATACCTTCCTCCTGAACTTCAGGTATGACCCAACACCGAAAGTTGTCTCACTCTTGCAGTAATTTTGTTGGTTTTGTTCAGCTGTTTGCTGGTTGCGACCTAGGTGCAAGGCTAGGTCTATATGTTTGCTATCTCTGAAGCACAGAATATAATGTCTAGCACATCAGGACAAAGGACAAGAAGTCGGGTGATGCATGTTTGTAACTGTGTATCTTTTTTATTGTCCTTTCTTTTCCTCCATCTATTTTGTTGGATGTCCTTAGCTTCCTGTTGATGTGAAATACACTTAGTTCCTACATGGACTAAGTTGCACGAACTGAAAATCACCATTTAAGATTTCATAAGTTTATTTTCTTCCACTTCTTTCCATTTCCTACCCTTTCTGAGTTATGTTTGCTTTCACCCATTATGTAAGGTGGCAATTTTTTCGTCCCTCCTGTTTTGACGATTTTGATACATTACCAACAACTTCGCAGTTGATGCTGAGAGGCCAATTCTCATAGCTCTCTTCAATGTGATAAGCCTATTATTCAAGTCTTGCACAAGATTGATGTATTAGACATTTATACTTCTTGACATCTCAAAGATACATGTTCATTATCTATCCTGAAGTTTGTAAAATTAACGTTTATTTTCTCATTTCCATGTATGCTTAATCACTTAAACAGTTAAATCTAGAATTTTTGAACAAATTAGTCTACATCGGGTAGATGAATGATTGAATTTCTTTTCAAATTCATTTGTCTTTGTTTTTGCATTTTAGATAGGAAAAAAAATATTTTTATTTGTGAACAACTAGGTATCGTTTCTATTAAGGATAAGATGAGAGAAAATCATTTAAAATTATATGAGCATGTGCTTAGGAGACCTCCAAATGCGATAGCCAGAAAAGGTGAAATGATTTATGTTAGTGGTATGAATAGGGGTAGAGGAAGGTTTAAAAAGACCTTAATAGAAACTATAAATAAATATTTAAGTACTCTAAACTTAAATAAGCATATGACTTTTTACATATCTCAATGGCGGCAAAGGATCCATGTAGCTGACCTCAAATAGTTGGGACCTATGATTTTATTGTTGTTATTATGCTTTATTTTTGCCTGGATTTTTTTTTGTCAATCAAATAGTGTTTGTTCATGATTTTTCCCATGTCAGTTTTTTCTGATACCTTGTTCTTTGGTATAGAGTATTGTGTCTACTACCCATTTTTGTTCTCTTTATCTCTCTTATTATTCTGTTCTTTATATTTGACCTTTTTTAACATGTCTGCATTTTGTTGCTTGTTGCACTCATGTGCCGTATCTTCTTTTCAAGGTTGTCGTGTCTGTCATTTAGGCACTTGATTTACCCCCTCCTCCCCTTTCCTCAATCTCTTCTTCCAGTATCTTATTTGCTTCAGTTACCATGTAAGTAGAATTTTCCAGTTCGCTTGTCTCCTTTTTTTGTCATTTCTCTTATGAAACTAGAGCCTATTTGTCACTTTCCTAAGCTGCTGCATGTTGGTAATTGGATCATTGTCATCGTTTGCCAACTAGAAAACTTGTCATTTAATGAAATATTTTGATTTCTTCTCCAACATTATTGCACAGCAATTCTTCTATATAATTCCTTAGCTCTAGCCTTGTTTCTCCCTCCCTTCTGTTTTTGCTGCATATGTAGTTGTACTTTACTGTATACATTACCTATTCACATGAGCTACCAACCTAATTTACTGCAGGATCTCCAGAAGGAGCAAGGATCATTTAGGAATTTGGGTTGTGATCTCCATTCATCTAACAACTCCACTACCTTGCTTTCCCCTCTTCAGCCCTACAGTTATAGTCCTATATAATATTTGGACTCGGTTGTATCTGGTTCCAAAGAAGCCCTTAGGTTCTGCACTGATTATGTTGATAAATAAATGTAATGTCTAACCTTGTGCTAGATTGCAATGTTTGCTGCTGCTGATACTTCTGAATTACATCTCTAGGTTGTTTTGGTATCTGCAACTTTTCCCAAAGAAATTCTGGAGTTGACCAACAAGTTCATGGCCGACCCCATAAGAGTCCTTGTCAAGCGTGATAAACTGATGTTGGAGGTAATGTATTTGAAGGTTCTCTTATCACTTAACTTCTGTGCGTTATTAGAATGTTAACCTTGTTCATTTGCTGTATATAGGGCATCAATCAATTCTTTGTTGCTGTTGAGCATGACAAATGGAAATTTGGCACGTTATGTGACCTGCATGACAATCTTACCATTACCCAAGCCGTTATATTTTGCAGCAAGAAAAGAAAGGTGACTTCATAGCGGTTAATTTTTTTAATGATATTTTAAACTTCATTACACAGGTTCACTTGAGGCAGCTAATTTCGTTAGATAACGATGCTCAGTCATAAATATCGAACACATTCACTTTATGTTTCACTTTGTTCATGATGCTGCAAATTAGATTCCATAGCTTAGCTCGGTGTTTTTCTCAAGTACATAATTTTAAACATGCATTTCTGTGATCATTTGCAGCTTGTGGCTATAAACTTTGCACCAAAATGATGACCTCAGGATGCTAAGAGAAATCAAACAATATTACAGTGTGCAGATTGATGAAATGCCAATGAATATAGCTGACCTTATTTGAAACTAATATGACGAGGATTGGTAGTTTATCTCACAGATATGAAGGTACGTCCAGGTAACTATCGTGATTATCGATATAACATCATTAATCTTGTAAATTATTTGTGCTCGGAAGACCGTCATGTTTGAATAGAAGAAAATTATCGTCTCTGCTGACTCGAAATAAGAAAATTAGAAGACCGGCATGTTTGAATAGACTTTGCCTATATTATTAACTGACTGTTAGCATATATTTCATGGTGGATCACATAGATGTCAACCCAATGCTTGCGGTATGCATGACATAAATCCTTAACTGCAGTAGCAATCGTCATTTACTAAAATGCAACAAGTATACAATATTATGTATCTCACAGCAGTCTAATAATGTAGGACTCATTTCATCCATATCTGCTGCATAATGTCTTCTTCTATATATCTGTGCCGGGTGCTTCAAACTATTATTGATGGGTGAATCCATCAGTATTATTGCAACCACGTAGTGTCTTCCAAGTTGACCCATCTAAATGCTTTATCTGTACGTAGCAGATAGGAAATAGGTTGACTTATTTTATACATCAGTAGCTTGGCATCTTTGTTTCTTGTGTCTTCTCTTCGCTGGCATTTGGACTTTGGAATCACAAAATCTTGCTGCACGTCGAGGTCGAGGTTGACCCCAGTAAACGAAAACAAACAAAACAACGGCGTCTTCCTGCTTGTGAATGTCAACTCCCACCCTCATATCATCGAGTTTGTCAACGAATTCTTAGCTGTCTTGTCTCTTGCCATGCTGTGTGATGGTGTCTAAGTAATTCGGATGACATTGAATTTGATTTGCAAGTCGACTGCCCTCAGCTTTCCCCCACATGCAATGGTGGAGTGTTGTGAGTCGGTGTTTCTACTTGACATTAGTGAATTCTTTTAGTAGGATTTGGCATTATAAAGTGGTTGACCTGCGGTGATTTAATAGAATTTTTACTATTGAATGGGGGTCAACATAGTTCAGTAATCCAATAACACATCACAAATAATTTTGATGTGAATATAAGTACTAAGGTTAGCATTAAAAAAAAGTCAAAGGCTCACCAAATCTATCTGTGACACAGTAAAGTCTAACCAAATAATTAACTAAAGCACATGAAGTAATATAACCAAACTATTCGAAAAGGAACAGTAACCCACCTCAGCTCGATGCCAATTGATGGTGACATTTTGGTCAAACTTGTAGACATGTACTTGCCGACCTAAGACGATCAAACACCCCACGGTATAATTTTGGACCTCCTCCCCACCGGTTCAATTACACCGGTTCAACCAACCCACGATTCGAGTCGAAGAAATTAAATACATACCCAAACTTCACTCGGCTAAAACCCCGACGAACCGAACCGAGCCGATCCGAAGCCGGTTCAGTTAGTGGGGCTGGCGAAGGGGAAGTACATGATGAGATCTGCTGGTCTCAGACGAATCTTTCCCCGTTTGCTCACTGTCCGATCTCCTGATGGGGCAAAAGATCTCGCTGTCGCTGCGCTTCGATACGCTTCCCGCAGACCAATATCTCCTCCCCCCAATCCCGATCCTTCCACAACCATCATCACCGAGGTTGGATTCAGCATCGGCATGATGAGCTCCTCCGACTCCAGCGAGATCTCCCTCGGTACTGATCCAAAGATCTCGTCCCCCTCCCTCCCTCCCTCCCGTCGACGTGCATGATATGGTATCCGATTAGATATCCCTGCCAATCCTTTTCCTCTGGTTAGATGATGCCAGCGAGGGATGAGTCAGTGGGTCAATGCGTGGACTTCTTCTTCCACCCATCGCAACCCCAACCCCTGTTCCGAATCCGTAAAGATTGTCTCTTTCGATCGGGTACAGCGCTCCTTGGGATTCTTATAACGGGGATTTGGTTGGGATTTCCTGCTCTTTATTCTCTGTCTTCGCTGCTGCTGCTTCTCCTCCGTATATAAGGCGGTTTGAGGAAGAGGGAGTCGCCTGCGGGTGGTTAGACTCCTCTGCGTCTGTAATGTCGTCGTCGAGAGGAGGGAATGGTTGCGGCGGAGAAGGAGAGCGCCAAATCCATGTCTTGGCCGTGGACGACAGCTCCGTCGACCGGGCGATGATCGCCAGGATCCTCCGCAGCTCCAAGTACAGAGGTAGATATCAAGCCGTTCGTCCCAAGCTTCATGTCACGTCTCTCTCTCTCTCTCTCTCTCTCTACTTATGTCTTGAGCGTCGTTGTGTTGCAGTGACGACGGTGGACAGCGGGAAGAAGGCACTGGAGCTGCTGGGACTGGTGAGTTGAGAGAGATGATCGCGTGGTTGCTTGTTCTTCGAACTCTCTGTTCTGATGATGATGGCATCTGATGGCAGGAACCGGACGTGAACATGATCATCACGGATTACTGGATGCCGGAGATGACAGGGTACGAGCTTCTCAAAAGAGTAAAGGTGCGATCAACAAGACGACCCATTCCCTGAATCATAAGAACAGGGTAACACCTCTCCTTCGGTTGCAGGAATCCTCGGAGCTGAGGGAGATCCCTGTGGTGATCATGTCGTCCGAGAACGTCCCCAACAGGATCAACAGGTAACAGAGACATTTCAATAGCTGAATCCACGAAGGTGTTGGATGGGGTGACGAGTGCAGCTTCGTCTGTTTTGGGTGTTTAGGTGTTTGGCGGAAGGAGCTGAGGATTTCCTGCTGAAGCCCGTTCGACCATCCGATGTGTCTCGGTTGTGCAGTCGAATCCGATAGCATGCTAACGATGGTCGTCGGAGGAGGAAGAAAGGAGTTTTTGAAGCTCTTAATTGGCTCGATTATTTTTTGTTCGATGGAGATACATATACCTGTTTTGGAATTCTTTTCTCTGGTAACATGTTCTTAGAGAGCATAATATGAGAACAGAAATGTAGAGAGAGAGAGCGAGATGCCGATCTTGTCCTCACATTTTGTCTGTGGCTTTCAGAATGGTTGTGGTGGAAATAGAAACTAGCAGCATTTTCCACACTTGCATGATTTGTTTTCAGACATTGCCTATTGCTTTCAGTGGAATCACTGTTGATGAATAGAAATAGCAGGAGTTCCTCACTGTGTCTCTGTTCATCTGCAAATGCAGAGAGAGAGAGAGAGAGAGAGAGAGAGAGACTTTTAAGGCAACATTTTCCATCTCAAAACCAATGAGATAGTGATGGGAATTAAATATAGCAGGAATTCCCCACTTCTTCTGTAGCTGTGCTCTTCTGCATACATTTGTGTCAGAGGGAGAGAGAGAGTCTTGAAGGCAACATGTTCCATCTCAAAACCATGGAGATATAGTGAATATAGCAGGAATCCCTCACTATCTTCCTTCTTTGGCTGTGTTCATCTGCAAACATGGGTGTCACAGAGAGAGAGAGAGAGAGAGAGAGAGAGAGAGAGAGAGAGAAGAAACAAAATACA